ATTTAAAGTGTGAAAAGAGTATAAAAACCAAAAGCCTCTGATGTCAAATTCTCATAAACTTTGCTTCTGTGACATGTTTTAATTAGTTTTTATCTGTTGTTTTGTTTTGTATTATATTTGAAGACTGCAGCTTCTAAACTCAGATCTGTGTTTACTGTAGCAGGAAGTAGATTTTCTCAGCAAAAGCAATTTCATTTTCTATATTTTAAGACAGATTTATTTTTTTCCCATTTCCTTGCAATAGGAAAAAAAAAACAAAATAGAATACACTGCCAGCTTTCTTTGGGTTCCACAAAACAGAACCATTAAAACCCAAATAAATCTGCCGGTGAGAACCGCTCTCTAAACGGTGTTACAATGTGTTTCTGGTGGCAGAACTCCAAGTCTGATGTGATGTCTGTGTGGAATAAACTTCACATGTATCTCCAAATCCTGATTCATTTCAGTGGCAGTTAGTGGGGAGCAGTTTACCCAAGTGATGACAAGCTGGCAGTGCAGATATTTGGAAACAGTATTTCCCATGATCCCTTGCTAGATACAAGTGCTAATTGTAGTTGTCACTGCATTCCTCCAAAATGTCCCTATTTAGGAGAAGCAGTCCCTATTTGGGCCAAAATCCCTCTGTCCAACTTTTATAGCCCAATGTCTCTCTTTTCTAGGAGCTCCATATTGTTAGTGTGTCTGAATTTATTTTCAGTCTACACAAACCAAAATAAAAAAATGGAAAAAAGGGGTTCAGTCACCCCACCTCACCTCACGGAGACCCAGTCTGTGCATAACGTCACGCTAACTCTTCTTCTCGTCCAATCCGATGCTCCTCAAACTGGAGCAATGGGGATGAAAAGTCCAATCATTGGAAGGTGAGCTCCGTTTTCAAAGTAGAAGACAGCCACTAGATGTGTATTAAACGATGCATTGTAAGCAATGCTGTATCTACTAAATGAAAATGTTTTACATTGCATACATTATGTATGTATTATGTATTATGTATAAACACATTTCAGTGAAATTAAGTAGTTAAGTTGCCTATAGTGGTTCTTTAAACTACAATAAATGTGCTTAGAAACCAGAAAGTAACACAAGGTTAATGCAAAGTGTTTAGAAATCAGTCTGTGTAAATAATAGACATTGTTTTTGTTCTAAATTACATTTTAGTTGGATACATTGTTATTAGTAAGTCACCTTTAATTTCTGAGACCAGCCCTGCCCCTGCTCACAGTTATGGTTATGACACCAGAAGTGCCAGGGCATCCCCCTATTGTAAGGAGTCAAACCATTTTTAAATTTCTTACTTGGTAATCACTGAGCGCAGCTCCCTGCCTCCACTACAATCAGCGGAGAAAGATGCCAGTAACTTACTGGCTCCAAACGTCAGCTACACCTGAAAGCAACTGGCTTTGTTCTTTCCTATATACTCACAAGAAATGAAAAGCACGCGGAATGATTCGTAATTTCATTGTTTGCATCAAGCCTAAATATTTAGACTTGTTTTATACTGCAATCTCTGTGATATACAAGACGTATCCTTTGTCCCCACCAGGAATTTTACAAGGATCGGTTCTGCAAACTTGCGAAATCTTTAAGAATAAATATTATTGTATTCTCTTTTGTCTCCAATTCTTTATAATTTACATTTAAGTGAATAAAGCCTATATAAAAAAATAAAAAAGATAATTATTTAGAAAATCGTAAACTCTTAGAAATTAACTGGGGTAGTAAGATCCAGAATAGCTAAGGTGGAAAATGTCTGAAAAATATATATTTTTTTTTTCCAGTATGGCTATTTTAAATGTTTTGGTCAATTTCTGACTATTCCCTTAGTCAATAATATTGATCAATATTTTTCAACAAAGTCTATGAAAAATATTAATGCAATATACAATGCCCTTATTAAAAATCGTCGTTTTTATGTAATTTCTTTTGCAATTTTTTGCAGTTTTGTTTGGAGCACCCGTGAGAGACAACATTTTGTATTTTTCGTCATTTAACTATTCCAGATATTTTGCATGTATTACATAAAGAGTAGTTTTTATTATAATAGGCGATATGTCGAATCCACAAGGCGGAACTGAAGCAATGTGTGCTGGGTGCTAAACTCTATTTTCCAACCAATTTCTATCTTGTCAAACATTTTAAAAACACTATTAGAAATTAATTTATTTTTGTTTGTTTTTCATGGTGGACTCCACAGGTCCTTGACATTAATACAGATGTATTATTTCTCAGAACAGTCAGTGAATCCATTTATACCGGAAGGAAACTAAATTCATATATTGGCAATTTGGCGCACTTAAACTGATTGCGGCTTTCTCTGCTCCGTGTATAATTTCTGATTGCTTGCTGTATGTTACTCAACTGGAGTGATTCGATTTGTCCAGAAAGCAATATATCATAGGTTTTTTTTATTTTTCTTTCTAATTGCTTCTCCATTACTTGGCCCTCACAACAGAATCCATTAATCATTTGCTCACTGATGATACCACTGCTGAAATTTCTCCATTAAAGCAGGAGAACCCATTATAATTCTACACATGAGGGGCTATAATTGTGCTGGCTAATAGTCAGGCAGGAGTGGGAAGTGCCCACATTAAGTAGCGATAAAAAAAAATTACATCTTAAAGGCACGGATCACACGGGTCACACGCTGCTTTAAAAAAAAAAGCCCCATTTCTCTTCTTTGTGGTCAGAAAATTATCTCAGCGCTTCTTTGAAGTAGATCTGCAGAGAACGGTATTAAATGACAGTAGGTGGTTAAACCATATAAGGATGTCCAAAAACATTGAATGAATTTGAGCACGTTGAATTCAGCACCTTGCATCATCCCTCTTGTAGAAGCTAAAGATTTAATGGATATAGCGAGGTATGGGGTGTGTTCTAAGAGTGAGATCCAATCTAGGACTGAAAACCTAATTTCCACGTGCACTCCGTAGTATATTTGAGAACAGGTGTAATGAGAGAGTGATTACATTTTATTGAACTGCGTGAAACAGTTTTAAAAAAAATGATTTCATGCAATAGAATTCATTAAGCTGGACTCACTGTAATACCTGAAGAGGAATTTAGTCTGTTTATATCTTTGGAAAAGAAACTGTAATTCAGTTCTGATTTTATCCAGCACTGCTGGTGAATCCTGAGCACAGATATAGCAAATCTATGCTATAAAATCTAGCTATTTACTAAAAAAGTACTGCTACCTGATATAAGCTGTAAATATTTCACAGCCAGGGCCAGAACAGCCATAAGGCGGCACAGGCAGCCCCCTAGGGTGGGCGCAATCACCGAGTGACCGGCAGGAGGGGGTGTATAGCACAGCACTCCCTTCCTACTAGTCATAACATGTAGGGTGGCTGAGTGGACCATGGTGGAGGATCTTCTGATAAAATTTAGTGTTTACACTGATGCCTAATGCCACCTCTACTGGCTGTCACTCAGACAGCCACTTGAGGGATTAACTGCAAAGATTGAAGACTGATAAAAGCTCCCCATAGAGATGCCTTGATTCAATCCATATCTATGAGGAGATGCTGACTGGCATAAAACATTCCTATTGGGAAACATTGGACTGGCTGAGATCACCTGCAGAGGAGGCGGGTGCACAGAGATGAGGGTGCACTGGGAGATATAAGGTAATTAACTATACTTTTTGAATGCATATGGGGGATATTCTAAACAGTACTTACAACAGGATAGCATAAGGAATACATGTTTATATTTCTAACCTCAACGTGTTCCTGTAAAAAAAACAAACATGTATGGAATTCAAGAATTTAGTAAATAACAAACTAGCTCTGCATTGCCTTAGTATAGTGCATGTTACATATTTAGACGCTCATCCAGAGATTCATGCCTGGTTTGTGAAAGTATTAAAGGGACAATATAGTCACCAAAACAACTTAAGCTTAATGATACAGTTTTGGTGTATAGAACATGCCCCTGCAGCCTCACTGCTCAATTCTCTGCCATTTAGGAGTTAAATCACTTTGTTTATGAACCCTAGTCACACCTCCCTGCATGTGACTTGCACAGTCTTCCTAAACACTTCCTGTAAAGAGTCATCTAATGTTTGCACTTCCTTTATTGCAAATTCTGTTTAATTTCGATTTTCTTATCCTCTGCTTTGTTAATAGCTTGCTAAACCCTGCAAGAGCCTCCTGTATATGATTAAAGTTCAATTTACAGAGCAGGAGATACAATTATTTAAGGTAAATTACATCTGATTGAAAGTGAAACCAGTTGTTTCATGCAGGTTCTGTCAATCATGTGGCAAGGGCTTCATAAACAGAAACAAAGTGATTTAACCCCTTAAGGACACATGGCGGAAATATTCCATCATGATTCCCTTTTATTTCTGAAGTTGTATCCTTAAGGGGTCAACTCCTAAACGGCAGAGAACTGAGCAGTGAAACCTGAGAAGCATGATACTCTATACACTAAAACTGCTTCATTAAGCTAAAGTTGTTGAGTCTTAAGTATTGGTTCTGGATCAACGAAAACGTGCAATACACTCACACACACTTGTAAGAGGCTTTTAACTTTACTGTTTTATCGTATGAATTGTAATAAAGTGTAGATAAATGTCATGGATATTGGAGGGTTTGTATGCAAGGATTAATTATATTTGGTATTATAGCTCCCAGTAATGTGAGAGAATGCACAATCACGTTTATATTTATTGACGTTACGATATTTTAAACAGTGTTGCGCTCTTGTATTCATTTATTTTTTGTATGTACTATATTTGGAAACTTGTCTGCATTCAGTTGAGGAATACATTAACTGCAAACGTATATAATATTCCTTTAATTTGCATTTTAATAAATAATAAAATAATAAACATCTTTTATTAACACTGAAGTCCACACAGACTCCTTGTTCTTACCTTGACAGGGAGAGCTGTATTTCCCAGCTTCCTGAGGCTCTGTGCTGTTGCCAAAGCAGGGATGAAGTTATATTCTGGCTCCAGAAACCTTTTAGGGTGCCTGCACAGCAAGCAGTGACAGCTAAGGAGCAGCGTAGGCTCCTGCCGTTTGGCACCTTGTGAGTAGCAGCGTAGGCTCCTTCCATTTGGCACCTTGTGAGTAGCAGCGTAGGCTCCTGCCATTCGGCACCTTGTGAGTAGCAGCGTAGGTTCCTGCCATTCGGAACCTTGTGAGTAGTAGCGTAGGCCCCTGCCATTCGGCACCTTGTGAGTAGCAGTGTAGGCTCCTGCCGTTCATCACCTTGTGAGTAGCAGCGTAGGCTCCTGCCGTTCGGCACCCTGTGAGTAGCAGCGTAGGCTCCTGCCATTCGGCACCTTGTGAGTAGCAGCGTAGGCTCCTGCTGTGCAGCACCCCATGAGCAAGAGCTCTGGTGAGATTTGGTGCTCCCTGTCATCCAAGGCAGACTGCCCCCTCCTCTTTAGTGCACCAGTCTTCCAACCCATTCATTGCTAACTGTTCCTAGCCAACTCAAGCTAACTGTTCCCAGTCAATGAATGAGTTCCTATATATAGACATATTCATTGAACTGCCATTAGCCAGCCTGACACCATTACTCCTGTCTAATGCTTTCTGATTCAAGCCTTGGACTGTGGAGAATGTTTGTGAGCAGAGTTTAACTGTTTGTTTACGATTTAACCCCTTGTGGTAAGTTGGCACCCAAGGGCCTCCTCACCCCATAACACTTTCATTCCAATGACTTTAACATTGCATGAGCTCATTCTATATCGAACAATCAGTGTTAATTCTGGCAGCATTAGCTAAAACTACTAAAACTTTGGCGCTTACAGTTAACATTATTCTCCCATATATATATATACATTTATTTTTTTATTGCTGTAAAAAGCAGTGTCGATTTCTGCAGAGCGCTCGAGAAATCAGCTTTATAGTGATCAGCAATACTAAATCTATCTTCATTTGCTAATCTAGTTGCAAAATAATTAACATCAAATTTAAATTATTTGTTGCCGCTGACAACGCAGGCAGAAATAAACAATATAAATAGCTTGCGCAGTTTACAGTAAATGAAAGTACTTATGTTCCTATTAGCAGCAATTATATATTGTATTCTACAACCATGACGAACCTCACGCCTAAATTACAGATGTAGAACTGTTGTTTGTAAGTTAATGCATTGCACACATGTTAACATTTACACCTTATTTGTACAATTAGAAATCACATTTATCGGGCCTCATTATGTAATCGTCAACTTGCGTACGCTATAACGTGACAAGATGGGTGCGTAACAAATATTCTTTAAATGTGCGGGAGGTGACTGCATGCTTGATTTTAGAACAATACCTTAATAGCAGTATAAGGTTTAACATGATTATATGTGTAGCTCATAATGAGTTGCTTGCATAATGTTAATTTAAAAGACAATGCCAACAATATTAACCTTTTGCAACTTATGGAAGTCAGTGAATAAATTGGATCTATGAAATAAAACATAAGCCCATTCTTTTTTTAAAGTGACATGCATCACTTGACATTTTTTTTAAAGACAGCAGGCAACATATTTAAACAAATATAGAGACCACAATGAAGCAAGAAAAACTATGAAACGTGTGTAATAATTTTTTTAAATGTTCTTTAAACTTGGTCAGATTGTATTGATAGGCACGCCTCTAAGCCTGCGGGAATTTCTCAGCCCCCTTAACCACCATCTCATTTTCCCACCAGTCCACACATGGCGTCATTGTGCAGCAGCAGGAGAGAGAAAACCGACACCGGAATCTCCTCTGCATGATCACACTGATCAGACTCCCTCTCTTCTCCCCCTGTCAGGACATTACAAGGTGTAGAGATCATCAACTTGCATATGTGTAGATCTGTAAGACAAGCCCAGTGCATGTTTCCAGCATTTCTAGGGATAGGACTTTGATTGGTTAGACCAGTGTCCCCCAAAAGTGGGTGTGGACAACAGAAGAAAGATGAAGCAGGTAAACATTAACAAATCATATTTATCTTTTTTTTTTTTCAGACTGTACAGTGAGACAACTGTCTCATTCAAAGCTAAAGCTGAGATGCATTCATTACTAGATTTACGTATAGCGAAATTCAGAATATTGACTCCTCCCCCCTCCCATAGTCAGCACTGAGCTGTCAGACATCTTGATTATAGAGAGTGAATCTGGACTGGAGTTAGAGACTGGATTTCTTCAGTGTAAAATTTGTGTAGTTTCTTTTGATGACATTGATCATTGCATTGATCAATATTGATCATTGCATCTTTCCAGTTATCATGATGATGAGCCAATCGAATATGAAAAATAATCAATATTGAAGCACGTCTATAAATAATGGCGCACTTAAAGAGTATAAAAGAGTCCAAAATATAGTGCAGATGGTAAAAGCACTAATTAAAATACAACACAGGTAATAGGATACACTATTTTTCTCTGTTTATGTCCCAACTGAGGATAAGCTTGCAATATCAAATATATCTACTGGGTGGGGATCATACCATCCTGAACCTTACCCGTTAAACTTACATTATAAGCTGCAAACTTGTAATTTTTATTCTTATTCTTGTTTTTGACCAAGCCAATAGTAGCTACTATAGTGCACTATTGTAGATTTTCTTCTCATATATGACTATGCACCAATATTTGAACATATAGCAACTTACTTGTGTCTGATATATCCTTAAGTGAGGATTGTACCACTACATGCTATCACACCTGGAACTGGTAACTAGCTCCTACTCTTGTGAGTGTGAAATCCACCAATTTATGTTGTGCTTCTTTATACTTACCTGAAAATACTAAAAACATTTATTTTGTATTTTTGTGTACCATTAATCTACTGTTTAAGAAGCTATACCACCTGATCAGAGGAAAAGAATTTGGACTGCGTTCCTTGAACTGCTTCATGATTTTCTTGTGGACATTAGGTGCATCCTGAATCTTTCTGTTCCCTGCCTTGTGTAAACTCTGTATACATTTACCAAATTTAGCATATTTTAAGTGCAAATTTGATACATTTTGAGATTAAGCTGCTGGTAGATAGAATTCTGGTCACCAATAAGTAAAGGGCTGTTATGGGCAAAATGCAAATATTGTATTTCTCCAACTGTGTACTTTGTCTTTAAGAGATATTGCAAACTGACAAGGTGTTAGAAATGGAACATATTGTTTTTCATATTCTTTAAGAAATAACCTTTTACCTACTTTCAGTGCATAGTATGTTTACGCCATTTTGTCCCAGACGAATTACAATAACAATAATGCAGAAACAAGCTTCAAGGCTATGCTATGAATCTTTCCGTACATAATATACTGTGGTAACCCTAAATAGATAAAGATGTTCAGACTTTAAGATGCCATCTTGTCCTAAGTCAGGGAATTTCCCATGACGTGTGCACCCTTATGTTTTAGTTATGGCCTTGTGTTTTTGCCAAGTTAAGGGAGGTCCCTAGAATGAACAAAAACAAAAGAAGTGTTACTACGGTAACCCTAAAATGAAGACACCTAAGGTATAAATAGGTGCTCTTTTAAATATTAGAGAACACAGAGAGGAGAGATTTGCAGACAGATACTGCTCCATCTTATAATGACAGAGAGGCTGACACCATGACATGTTAAGGAGGGTATGTTATTCTATTATTGCAAGGATATAGTTTAATCTTATAAACTCTGCTATAAATTATGGTAATGAATTTTATATGTGTATATTTATATTTTTATATAATAAATATCTAAAAGACAAAACTTTATTGCTTCCAAGACAATCCTTATTTTATATTGTATTCTTAATTATTTATATGTATTTTAGATAGAGGATCTCATATTAACTATATAAAATCACGGCTAAGATATCTGTATGGTTAGCCCTGCTAAGTTCTATGCTTTAAGACGTTATAGTGGTAAATAAGGGAACCGGCTGCTGTTACAGTGCCAACACGGTTTAATTTAATAACTAACACACCTTACACTGGATAGTCTAAAGCCATCCCTAGTATCTCTGTGGATCTGTCCATAAAAGAATTAGGAGGTCGGTGACACGTTCCCTTGCTTTTAATGCTGATATAATATAGAATCAAGTTTTACTTTTAAACACATTTACCAGATTTTGTTATTTTCTCTGTGGAGCGGTCCATTTCATGTATAATTGTTTTCTTCTTGTTTTCTTCCACAGAGCTGTTTTTCAGAATATGAAGATTAGACCCAGCGGGACACAGGGTGATTAACAGGGTGAGAAAAGGGAGTCTTTTATTTTATGTGAATATCTACCTTTGGATTTCAAGCCTGAAGTTTTAATGAATGGGTAGAGATCGGGTTTCTTTAGAGTTTAATTTGTGTTGTTTCTACTGACTGTGACTTTGAGCAGAGCATTAATTGCAATGTTCCAGCATGATATTGACTTGATCTTATTTGAACATAAATTGTCCATATGCTCTCCATTTTTCTGATTTTTTATGGTCATGTTCTCAATAGTAATGAGGAGCAAACAAGAGATACATATGGGACGGGTGAATAGAATTCTACTGACTTGTCACAAATGTTGCAAAACCTCTATTGACTTCAACATGGAAATCATCTTCTAACCAGCACACGCCCCTCCTTAGTATTGTCACCAGGTCACAAGAAATGAGAATTGATAGCTGTTGTTTTCCTAATTAATTTCAATTAGTCTGATGTTCATTGCAAAGTGATGATTACGCTAATTCCCACCTCAATCTGAAGCACATTTTCGTTCATCACCATTCAGACAGAAGAAAATCCTGACTGATTTTTCCTCCTGAGTTCACGTTGTGTATATTAGGTCAATTAACGATGCATATGGTTTATAAAAATCCATGTGAAAGTTTGCTTTGCTTCTACCGATTCTTAAGAATGGAGATTGCAATAAAACTTCTCCCAGTTGACCAATGGTCGGAAAAAGAATATGATGACCATTGACAAATGAATGGAATAATGAGCTGTCCATGGTGGTACAGGCATCACTTTAGGAAGGGGCAGAACCCCTATACGACCAAGTAGGTAACAGTTTAAAAGGTACTCTATTTTTTCTTGAACACACTTCAAATAGCTGATGCACTGCAGTGTTGCCATCTAGTGGTGAAAGTATGTTTGCCACCCCAATTCTTAGCCTTTTGTATATGTGAATTTACAAATGACCACATAGATTGGACCATTATATATTATTGTGTCTGGTCCTTCCTGTGCATCCCCTACCATAATATTTTTAGTGTACTATATATAATTGTCTGATCATGTTTTTCAAAGTTATTTTATGGCAGATGGCCTCTGTTTGGTAAAACTAGTGAATTATGTAAAATATATTGTACAGAGGTTACTCCGTTAGGGAACATATTTCTTATATAATAATTCTCAA